TTTTATCTCACCCCAGGCCTCTCTCTCTCTTCATCACTCACAAAGAAATATTTTTCTATCGTAGTGAGCTGGCCAAAAAGATCAATCTCCCTTTAAAAAAAAAAAAAAAAATCTGTAAAATTAGGAAGAATAATATTTACCTATCCCACAAGATTGCCTGGAGGGCTTTATTTTTGCAAAACCCTCTGAAAACAAGGATTTTTAACAAATTTTTTTATTTTTTTATTTTTTTTTCCCCAGTCCCTTTTGGGGAGGGGAGAGGTTCGGTTCCCACCGGCCTGGCTGGGCATCCCCAACCCCTTGATTAAAAGAAAAAAAAAATAAAAAAAAAAATAAAAGCAGCTGCAGGTGCTCGGCAACCCGAAGGAAAGAGGGAGGCGGATGATCAGACCTTCTTTTTTTTTTTAATTTTTTTTTTTTTTAAACAAAACTAGGCAAGGACAAGAGAGCCTCCTGCGGGGAGCGAGCGTGGGGGACGGCGAGGGGGCGAGCGGAGCCAGACAAGCGCCTGAGTGATAACTTGCCTGAACCCTTTGATAAATGAGTTGACTTTTTTTTTTTTTCCCTCCCCTGCTTCATTCGCCACACGCCAGGAACAGAATTGGCCCTGAACTAGTGGAATTGGCAGCAAAAAAACTAACATACAAGTGTGTCTGGTCAATAGAGCGCTTGTTCCTGCCTCGGGGGTGCGATGTGAGGACTCCGACTGTGCTCCCGGCCGCGGAGTTGGATGCTGGAGACGCCGCAAAGGGGTTTTTCTTTTTCTCTCCCCTTTCTCTCTTTTTAAAATATTCATCAATGGGGTGGGTAGTTTGCTCTAGTCATTAAAATATCTCTTTTTTTTTTTTTCTTCCCTTTTCTCTTTCTCCAACTACTATACCTGAAAACAATAGATTATGGCATTTATTATTATATCAACTATATATTCATTGCTTAATAACTAGATATACAAACTTAGCTGTCATAGCTCATGTACTGAGTATCAGCCAGAATTAACATATTCCTAATTTGACTGTGAATCTACTATTTTTGATCTAGTTATAAAGTACTTAGAAATTCATACTGTGCCTGTGAAATAGCTTCTGCTTTTTTTTTTTTTTTTTTTCCTCCCCTCCCCCTGGCTCTCTCCAGGACTGCCCAGGCTGGGGGAGTATGAATCAGCAGCAGCAGAGAATGGCTGCAGTTGGGACAGACAAAGAGCTCAGTGACCTGCTGGACTTCAGCATGGTAAGGCAGCGCCGCCGGGGAGGAGGGGGG